TTTTTTTCCAGCTTCTATCTTCTTGACCTTACACTTATTCTCGATTTCCAAACTTTTAATTCGTCGCTTTGCATCTACTAATTCTCTGGCCCACTGCTGTGGCGCCTTACTTGACCCAAGTCTCTTTCTCGCTTGCTGCACCCTTTTATAATCCTTTTTTAGGTCTTCTAAATCAGCTTCCACCTCCTCTTTCCGTTCCCTCATCATTATAAACTGTCTGGCATGAAATTCAACCTCGATAGTTAACATGAAGTTTTCTCTCTCCATCTCTTCTATTTTCTTGGAATCTTTAGCCTTTTCTATCTCAAACTCCATTCTTTGGATTTCCAAATTCAAAGGAATATTTCTGATTTGTTCTTCCATTGACCTCGATCCCTCTCCAGATGTTAAAGGAATTTTATCATTTACCCTCTTGATTCTCTAAGCTTCATAATCGGGCGTCAAGATAACATCCGCTCCAACTACTTTAGTCCTGAAAGTCAACCTCCAAGAATCAACATCTTTGATTTTCTTTCTATAATTGACTTCTTTATAATCAAATTCAGCACCAGTCAACCCATGAGTCACGGGAACAAATTGTCGGGCACCGTACTATCTCAATACCAACAAAGGAGCATATCCCACTCATCCCCACAGTCCCAATAATATAATCCAGTCCAAATCTCCACACCTGAACAAGATTTGTGTATGCATCAGCCACGGAGTTCGCCATGCTATGTTTTGACTCTGTAGATTCCTGAAGAATTCAATCCATTGATCTTTCTGAGATACTTCAGGCCACTCCTTTGTGAGGTATTCAGCAACAGGAGAATAATCTTTCAAGAAACGATTATAGTTGACTTTCTCCTCCTTCCAGAAATGACTTCTGATCCATACAGTAAGTAATTGAGCACAACCCATAAAACGACCTCCACCCAGCCTTCTACATATATTCAAAGATCGAAAAGTTTCAGCAAGAATTGCGTGGACTGGATTTACCTCTCTTTCTAACTTCTCAACCAAATCAACTACTGCCAGCTCAATTAGCCCCAAACACTTTGGAAAAATTATCAAACCATATATACCCAAAGCAAATACATCTCTCCGTACATTTTCATCTACGTGTGCTTCAGCTATATTTTGTAAGTGGGACCACAGCACTCCTTCACTTTCTCCCTTTCGTTGCAAGCGATCATTTACCCATTTGTCACTCGTGCCCGAGATCTTTGCAAGCTTTGACTTAAACGAAGGTCCTTTTATTGATCGAGAGTAAATTTTGTCCACTTTAACATTTGGAAAATTCAACAGAAAGTGATATTCCTCAAGGGTTGGAGTCATGTCCTCTCGGTTGAAGGTGAAACAACTATAGGTCAGATTCCAAAACTGTATCATGCTTCGTATGAGAACCGGGTCTACCTTCACATATATTAGATGAAATATATCCCCATAAATATGTTGAAAAGCTTGTCTTTCAGTAGGATTCCAACTTTCCCAAATTATTTTCAACCCCTGAAGCTCATTCTGTTTTAAAGAAGCTGGTGCATAATCAGACAAATCTGACACGTAGTTCCCTGAGAGACTATCCCCTTGCTCTTTCTGCTTGGCTTCAGACCAATTCCTTACATCTGTCGGATTTACTTCTTTGTTTAGGAAACTCCTTTCCATCATGAAGGTCTTTCCACTTTATCGATACTCACAGATCAATCGCCTTTTCTAATGATATGTCCATGCAATATGAATAAAAAATAAAAAAAAACAAACAAAACAGTTAGTCAATACAATTGTATAATTTTAACATAAAAATATATGTATAACAGGAAATAAATCTACTCCATTTATGTATTATCTGCCCGAATAATATTCATCAAGAAAAGGTCCTACCCAAACATGCTCTCTACCCTCCTAAATTTATTTAATCAGACCCTAACTACACATAAGTTCCATTTCACATGCTTTAAAAAATATTCTACATAAAAAAATAAATAAAATAAAATAAAAAGGAGTAAAAGGTTAGAGTAGGTTTCTCCATCGTGTACACCTATTTTGGGTACCTACTGACGGACAGAGGTTCGGTAAGACTCTACCTAGTGTTATCGTTCTATGGTTCACTATATACATGGTTTTGGCTCTAACAAGAAAAGGGACTCGAATCGTCCTTAATGTCGGTGCCCCCTTGGGTTGCCGAACCCTCAATCCTTACCCATTACAGGTTTCAAACGGAACGAGTTCAATTCGAGGGGATTCACTTCCTTATACCCATACGAGGAATAAATTCCTACGAAGGTATAAGGTATGTATCCCATGGGTTATTTACTAAAACTCATACGAAGAATAAATTATTACGAGAGTAAAGCAATAACCCTAACTAATTTGGATCGAAGCTCGTGTCTAGAGCTCATGTTATGCCAATGAAAGTGATGTGTGTGAGGAGAAACGAACAAACCTTTGAATCAAAAACATGGAAAGAATAAAACTCAACGAGAACTAATAAATATCTGAAAAAAACGAAAACAATTAAAATGTTAGTATATAAAAATAAAGAGATAAAATAATAAATAAAAATTCAATACATAGATCATAATTTAACTAAAGATTCGAACTTATAATTTCCACCATAACGACCATATTTAAACGACCGACAGCCTGACTCTCTGGTCCCCAGCAGAGTCGCCAAGCTGTCATAACCATTTTTTATTAAGCATTTTTAAATTTGTTTAAAAGGATTATGATTTTAATTTTGAAAAAATTAATAATCCTGAATTAATTTAGGAATTAAATTGAAAAGGGAGTCGCCATCGACCTTTGAATTAGGTAGGTCGAATACCAAAATACATGTTTTCTAAAAAAACAATTTTAAGGAAAATCGTTTTTTATTATTATTATTTTAAAAAAAAGTACAAGTCTGTGTTATCAGAAAAAATTTAGGGGTTCGGAAGTCAGTTACGCATGTGAAAAAAGATAAACATCCATAACGCCCAAAAATCGGTACTTAGTCGTTTATATATCGTCGTAATGGTAGAACTTAAAGTTTAAATTAAAAGTAAAATTACGATCTATTTATTGAATATTAATTAAGATAAAAGAAATCCTTCACTTGATAAGAAATCCCGAGATTTGTAATCCTCCATCGGGAAAGCTATCTCACCTATTTCTCATCCCTAAAGAATATTCTATCTTTTGAATTACCACCAAATAATATCGAAATGGATATAAAATAAAATATACTTTATTCATCTAAAACATATATATAATTAATATTAACATAAAAACGTTAACACATTAAACATTATAAAAAATGAATAAAAAATAAATATAAAAAATGAAATAAAATTTTAAGGTACATAATAAGTAAAGTGAATATCTAATGCATAACTAAGTCTAACCACAATATCACAAACTAATTGAAATTTATTAAACAATAGTATGACTATTAATCAATATATAGACATTTATATATATATTCTAATATTAACTCATACTAGACAAATATTTAAAGAAAATAAAATAAATAAATAAATAATAATAAAAAACAGCAAAAGTAATAAAATATTACACATATATTTAATAAAGAATCTACACAAACCTAAACAAAAATAACAGTGACCAAGCAAGCAAATAACCCAAACAAGTCTTAAACAGTGACTACAAATTACACTAGGAAAACTTAGGTATCAAATGCGTAAATTACCACTTTCTCTATACTATGAACAAAGGACTAAAAAAAAGAAAACATACAGTGTAAATTCAGTATTTAAACCAAACAGCAAAACCGTGATCAAAATGTAAACTTTATAAACACAGAGTACAATGTTAAAATTTACAAAATATTACTGCAAGGTGACCAATATATAAACATTACAAATATGTGGTATAAAATAAAAAAATAAATAAAATACAATAAATGGCCATATCATAAACATACATAACACAGGAACCCCAGTTACATAGTTTACCCATGTTGAAATTACAACCCGACCCTCGACCTAAAAGGTGCCGTTTTGGACTCGGTTCATAAGGCCAAACCTAAGGCCCTTACTCGGTGAACCTCTCATTTCTCATTTGTCTCCCTCTCTCAAAATCCAAAGAACCACAAAAGCTCTCAACCCTCACCCCTCTGCCCGTCCTCAACCGAGGATTAAGACCCCAAAACTCCCCGGCCACCGTAAATCGGTGGCCACGAGGAGCAACATCATCATCCTCTCACCTTCTAAACAACCCCACCCCAGGCGAGTCGTGACCCAAAACCCCACTGTGCTTCAAACCCTAACGACTCTAGAAGAGAAAAAAATTTACCTTTGGGATGGTTCTTCCCAGTTCTGATGAGATGAGTAAGGGCTAGGTTTAGCATGTATTTTCTTTTCTCTCTTTTCCTTCTTTTCTACTTTCTCTCCTTCTTTTTTTTTAAGACCCGGATCCCCTCTCTGACTCCAAATCTCCTCTTTTTATCTGATTGCATGCCTCTGTTTGATGTTGTTGCCGAGGAAATAGGATAATGATATCCTATTTCCATTGATGGACTAGATAGGATTTTACTTAGATTTTTTTCTGATTTTTGTTTGTGCTTTATGCAATTTGATGGATGGCCATCACTGTTTGGCGCAGGACTATCTACGGCAGCATCAGAGGCTGCCGAGGTGTGGCTCGGCTGGGCAGCTGCAACATCGGCGCACGACAGTTAGAAGGTTGAAAGGTTGGTGGCTGGAGCTTGAAGGCCAAACGGCTGAGTTGATGATATTTTAGGGTTTCAAACCCTAGGCTCTGTACGATCTGGACCGTTGGATGGGTCCAGATCCAAAGGCCAGAAGTGAGGTGGCTGAGCAAAGAAGAAGAAATCCTAGAGTTAGGGTTTCGTTGGGCTTGGTTTGTAACCGGGAATGGGTTGAGTGATCCGACTTCAGGGTTGGGCTGCTGGTTTTATTCTTTGGGCTCCAGAATAGGGCCTGCAAAAAAATGTAATTTATAATAATAATAATAAATAAATAAATAAAAATAGATAGAAAAAATCAGACAAAAATGGGTGTTTACACCGGTGCCTTATTACTCTCCGAAGACGCAATTGAGTCCCAAATCTCTTCCTCCGAGAAGTTTCTTTCTAGAAGAACAGATTCATCCTCAGAAAGCCATTTAAAGTTCAAATCCAAATGCTCCACCTCCACAGTAGGTTGCAAGTTATAGATATCCCTGAAATATTCATGAATGAAAGACTTTATCTGTTTCGGATCCGATATCAAATTACCGCTGACATCCAAAGTTTTTAATGCATTGACCCTCCCTCTATTTGATGCACACTGGTGGAAATATCTAGTGTTCCGATCACCATTCTGGATCCAATTCGCCCTTGATTTTTGGTACCAAATTAATTCATCTTTTTTGTACAAAGACCATAGCTCATTCTTATCTTTTGCAATGTCCTCCATCGAAATCATTTGATTCCTTTGTTGTATTAATGCTTCCTTGTCTGAAATAGATTTTTCTAGGTCCTCTATCAATCTCAGTAATTGCAATCGGCTGTTTTTGGACCACGTTCTGATCACTTCCTTTGATTCTTTAATTAAGACTTCAATACCCTTTCTTTTCCCTTTCTTCAATTCTTCAATCTTTCTTTCAACTGTATGTTTAAAACCCACCTCATCCATTATGTAATTAAAGAGTCTGAAAGGCTTTGGACCCCAATTTATCCTACTTGTTTCCATCACCACTGCATTGTGGTCGGACAGAGATTTAGGTAACAATACCTGTACAATGTTTGGGAATAGACGTAAAAAATCGTTTGAAATAAGAAAAACGATTCAGCCTCACAAAGGAAGGAACTTCCCTATTGTTACACCATGTAAAACTCCCTCCAACCATCGGTAAATCTACTAAATTTGTTTGAAAAACAAAATCCCAGAATATCCTTAGTGATGTCGAATTATGTGATTTCCCAATCTTCTAATCCTGTGACAAATGCGCATTGAAATCACCTCCTACACAGACTGGACAATCCAGTTGTAGGACCATTCATATTTATAAAACAACAGTCCTCATTTAACTCCTTGATAGTACCTTTAATTGCCACAAACCTGAAATTAATCTTCTGCATCTGTGCTAAGAACCAATTTTCATCCCAAAAACTTAGTATTCCTCCGGATGCTCCTTCTGAAGGCGACACAACATATCCTCCAAGATACTTACCCCCTAACTTTCTTTTCAATGGTGGTTTAATCATCTCCAATTTAGTTTCTTGTAAAAAAAAAGAAAGTCTCCTATTGCTTACCACCTTCCTAACAGCCCTTGCCTTTTCTTTCCTTCCTAATCCCCTGATATTCCAAGTTACACATGAGACTCCAACCATTTACAGTACATTAAAATCCTTATCCAGAGTTGCAGGATTAATTCCCACCCTCTGCTCCCCTGCTCAGATTCAAATCCGAAAGCCTCTTGGCAAAGACTTCCTCCCCTCCTTTGAATGTTACCCCCAACATTTTGCTAATCTTCCAGGGTAGAGTCGAACTCCTCTTTCTCTATTGAACATTCAAATGATGATACAGCTCTGTCGGAGTCAAATTTATTATTTTTCTTACCAGACATGTTGTAAATTCTGTCACTATAAACAATAGCATAATTGTTCGTTCTTCTTCGATTTGTTGGAGGAGACGAAGAAGGCCTTCTGTTTAAACACATTCATGTCGAATCAACATTAGCTCCTGCATCAATTTGAACATGTTTTTTATTTTTTCCTTCCAAAACATTCTGCTGCAGACCAAATTGTTGCTCCTCCCGAATCAGGATATTTTTCCCATACCCCGTGTTTGTAAGTTTTACTGCTGGCCCAGAAGGAATGATTTTTAAACTGGAAGTGGGCTCTCATATTCCTTCGGATTGGCCTCCATCCGAATTATCAAATTCTCTCAACCCGAGACCTACAAATTCCCATCTGTAATTAACCTCATGATCTCCTATATTTGAATTCCCAGCTGTAATTAATTGACTTTGTCTACCATGTTCCATTAATTCCTGTCCCATACTTTTGTCAGTATTATTTTGACTTTCACTACCCTGCTTATATAATTGCTGTCCCACAGTCTGCAGACAACTCAGCAAAAACACCTCCTTCCAACCACGTGTCCACCCTACTCCTAAAGTCATTGGCTGACCTAGAAGGTCTGCCAACTGCCTCTGTAACATGACCTTCTTCTTCCTCCTCCTTTGACGCACCAACATTGTTGTTCACACCGTCGGCAGCCACCTCTGAAGACATTGCTGCAAAAGGATCCTGTTTTTTAAAAACCGATCCCAAACTTGTTTTTACCGTGAAAGATATCTGTATGACCTCAACGTTAATGTTTCCGGTATATCAAAAGGGCTCGCCACCCTCAACAACATCCTTGCTATAGACATATCCTCTCTCTTTACCTTCGATTCATGAATGCAAATTAATTTCTCCCACCTTGCAGCAAGTTTTTCCATAAATGAAACATTCCAGCATAACAATGGGACTCCAACCAAATCAACCGAACAAAAAGCCAAAGGACTACCTTTCTCATTCAGAATAGGTTCTAGCCATTCAAACTAGAAGGCTATCTCCTCCTTTTTCAGCCACTGCTCCTCTAAATCTTCAACCGAACTAAAGGTTAAAATGCATGAGTTCCAAGCATGTCCCCAGCTCGCTAACTTACCCGAAATCCCATCACTCGCCAGACCCTTTTGAACTAGATCTAAATCAAAAAGTGGTTTAATAATCCCCGTTAAGGATCTTTTAACCCAATCTGATTCATAAGAGGGTATGTGCATCTCCCACACGTTCTTCTTCCCAGAGTCCAATCTCAAACGCCCCTCTCTATTATGATTTATCCCCGGTTCAACCTCCAGCCTTCCACTGCAGACCAGTACATCCTTATATGTTCTTTCATCCCTAAGGCGACCAAAATATTCTGCTCATTCTCTTCTTTTCCTTTCCTCGCCCTTTATCGAACTACCTTCTTCCACTTTCGACTTGCTAGTGTCACCATTCCAATTCCGATAACTTTGGTATTATGCAACCCCTACAGATAATCTCTTCCCATCAATCAATGTTCCATTAACATTCACAATCGCCTTCTTCATGTCTTCCTCCTTTGCGAACTGAACAAACGCAAAAGTATGATTTCTATAGTTTGGTTTATTTAAAACACTTGGAATGTAGACCCTCAGAACTCTACCATGCTGTTGGAAGAACTCCCTTACTACTCTCCTAGAGACTCTCTTACTCAGATTATCCACGAACACCGTCCATTCCTTATCGGAGGACTTTTGACCTTTTTGACTCTCTCTCTCTCTCTCTCTTACACTCTCTCTCATGTTTTTTCAAAAAAAAGGGTTTAAGTTGAGGTACTGGTTATTTGTTTGACATTTATTGGTATTTGGTCGCGATCAATTTATACATGTCTTTCCATGTGGTAACAGTGATGGTAATTTTTATGTTTAATTTTCCTATTAAAGCCTGGTGCAGGTTACTTGGATGTTCTTCAATTTGAATTACAGTTTTTTTAAATGATGATTTTATGTTAATTATCTGCTTATACATTCTCTTCTCGAATACATGGTATCTTTTGCTTGGTCGGGGAAAAGTAGCTTATTTTAGAAATGTAGATAGAGGCTATTGAGAACTTGGCTACTTATATGGATTGTCATCTTTTTTAATCATAACATTTTTGGATCTTAATTCTAATTTCTAGTAATATGCTCTCCTGCTTTTTTCAGTGTCTGTTAGTTTGCTGGGCTTGGTTGGATTATTTGATGATTGAGTTCATAGGCTCTGCATGAGAAGTTAACGTTCAGTTGAAAAAGCATTATGGCCTTTGAATCCCAGAATCGATTCTAGAATATCCACATAAATATTTGGCATTGAGTCATAGTTCTAGACCTGTTTGGGCTTTTTCTCCCTGCTTTCAGTTCCATCTCTTGCGAAAACTGCCCAGTGCTCCCCTTATATTGATTTTCTAGATAGTATCAGACCTTCAAATATTTTTCTTACCGTCTTATATTTTTGTGAAACATGTTATGGATCAGGATGCAAAGGAGGACCAGCAACACAACGGAAAGAACAATGAATTTGCTATCCGGGCTTATGCTCTTAGATATTTTTATGCTAAAAGTTTGTTAGGTAATTTTTATGCTAAAATTTTGTTCAGTTCCATTTCTATGTGCTTTAATAGGAATGTGAACAATGTAATTTGGCTCTTGTGAATAAAAGTTTGTTAGGTAATTTCCTGGTACAAGTTTGTTAGGTAATTTTTATGCTAAAAGTTTGTTCAGTTCCATTTCTATGTGCAATTTACCTGAGTGCCGCTGTTGGAACTTTTCTGCTTGATCTTGTTTTTTATTGAAGGGTTTTTCCCTCCTCCAGAAAAATTGGAGTGCTGTGCAAGAGGAGGTTGAAACATCTGTTTATGATGCTGGAGCAGGTAATCAAGACTTTTTAATTTTTAATTTTTTTTGAGTTTATTAATAATCAAATAGTCTTCTTTTCCTAACGATTTCTTTGAATTCAGGGTTTGGATATGATGACTTTGTGTATGATGAAGATGAAGAACAATCATCAAAATTGAACCAGAAGAAGCGAAAGAATCCAATGAAATCATATCCTGCAAGGCACTATAAAATGGCTGCTGATTTGCCATATGGAAACTGTGCTCAATCGTCCATGGTGATGGGGAAAAGGCCTTCCAATAATCTAAATGGTGGTCCAATTCCAACAAAACGTGTGCGCACTGGATCCAGGAAGAGGGTTTTAAGTCCTTTTAGCAGTGCAGCTGCTGTTGGGGGTCTACAGGCTCCGACACAAACTGATGCTTCTAGTGGAGACGTCAATTCTTTCCAGGATGATCTGAGTACATTGCATGGAGGATTACAGGCCCAAAACAGCTTGGAAGTTGAATCTATTTGGGACTTTGAAAGGCGGCTATCATATGATTGTGCAGGAACACCAACAAAACCTAAAAAGAAGGAAAAGGTCAAGAATCTCGTATGTAGTAATTCTTCTGTTTTAACTGATACTGGGGTTTTTCTCCCAGGAATGGTATGGGTAGTCTATTTACCTACATTGTTTCTAAAGGTGCCTGAATTATGTTTCTCGTAGGGTTCTGCATATAATCAGGGTTGGCAGCTGGAATCTCCTGTTCACAATGAACAGGTAATTTTTTTAATCATTATTGTTCCAAGCTGTTTATCTTGATAGAAATAATTTCCCCCCTCTTTTGCCTCACACTTTTCTATCTATTTCAAAAAACTAGTATATTTCTTTAATCTTGAAGATTTTAATTTTTTATATTTCTTGAAACGTTAAGATTTTAATTTTTTTTTACCTGGATGAGTAATTACCATTTTTAGATTCTTGTGTGTTACTTTGAAACTGTACTTTTACGCAGCTTGAGATTCAATTTTTAAAGGTATTGCCTGTTTTTAATTTGGTTGCCAAATTCAGTCATATTTATACTGTTTTATTGATTAAGGAAAAGTTTTCCATTTCCAAAGCTTTAAGGTCATTTCATTATTTTCAACATTCCACCAGACCAAGTTTGATCCTGCTCTCCATGATAGATATGAAGGTGTTATAACTCATTAATCTTTTATGAAGCCTTGAACTTGATCTGCAAGTTCTTCTGTTATTCCCTTTTATTTGCCAAAATTCTGTTCTATGTGCTCTTTTCTAATTAATGATCACGTGTTTGATAGTGCTATTCTTTTACAGAGGGATTATTCCAAAAAGAGACCAGAAAGTCATCAGCTTGACTCTAATGGAACCAGTGGTAAAGCTCTGTTTTTCTTGTATTTGATTAAATGGTTGGTTAGTTGGTTGGATATATCTATCAGTTATGTTTTTGTCCTTAACATTTTCAGTTGTCTTTTTCTTAGGTTTACATGGACAATATATTACCAAGAAGTTGAAGATAATGAAGCAACAGCAGGATAGTTCTTATGATATCATACCTCCAAATGGATCCATCCCTTCACCAGTAGGATCCCAGATGAGTAATATGTCCAACCCGAGCAAAATCATTAGATTAATTCATGGTAGTGACAGGAGTAGAAAAGCCAAAACAGCCAAGGTAGTTTTCCATTTTCGTTTCTTGATAGCCTGGTTGATCATCTGCTTCATATTTATCTTAGCTCTGTTGTGACTGAAACTTATTCTAGATGTATACTGGTCAGCCTGCTCATGGTAGTCCATGGTTGCTATTTGAAGATCAGGTTAACTCTTGTTTTCTTTTCTTGAAATTATTCTTCAATTTCTGTTAGCATTACAACAAGGCCTTGAGATGTTTCTGGATTTATGTTCAGGCACTTGTTGTCCTTGTACTTGACATGGGTCGA